CCAAAGAGTGGTGGCTTAGTGGGGTAGTAATTACAGTTTAAAAGTAACTATTTTCAATTCTTTGTTCTTGGCTGTGGGTGAAGCTGTGGGGAGATCAGAGCCTCTTTTACTACCACCTCCAGTGTTAGCTCACCAAGCCTGAGCCTGAGGGTTTGGAGGGCAGAAGGTGTGTAAGATTCTGGTCTCAGTGGTCAGTGGTCAGACTCTGGGCTATTGGCCAGAATGCTGGCTTTGTGAGCAGCTGCAGCTTGGCTCTGCTCCAGCCCACAGGGGCTGAAAGGATGGGTAGGAAGCATGTATGTGGCTTTGTGTTCTTGGCTTCTCCAGACTCCCCATGCTGCATGTGTAGGCTCTGTGGTCAGTGATTGCACAGAATAGAAACCCATCCTGGCAGGGACCAGAGTTAGGGGGCCCATGGCCTGGAAGGATGAGATGGTTCTCAGTGACCCTGTAGCTTCTCTTTCCCTCTGGACTGTTTCCCCACCTTGACTGTGGGACAGCAGGTGTAGACCATGCAACCCAAGAGATGATTCCACCAGTGCCCTCCAAACCTTTAGGTGGGGACAGGGCTTGTGAGCAACGCAGAGATGATGTGAATGCTTTTTGTCTCTCTGGGGAATTGTGTCTCTGGAAGGAGAAATCACACGAACTCTGGACAATGGCTGAACCTGACCCAGGAGAACCTTGGCTGTCCAGGGCTCTTTATGCTCTGACACTCTAAACCTTAGTTTAGGACTTAAAAGTCTTACCCTGCTCTGGAAGGAGCTTGGCTAGGGATGAACCATACCTCCCCTTCAGCTCCTTCACTAAGGACTGAGGGAGAGTCCTGGGAAAGTTGTGGGTTTCTTCTTCTTTTTTTAATCTGAAGGCCATACACTTAGTTGGCTGCATTTTGGGATCACCTAGGGAAAGATGAGGCTTTCTGCTCCCGTAAAGATTTACAGCCTTGGAAACCCTGTACAGGGTCGCTGTGAGTCAACCAACTCTACAGCACTTAACAACAGCAGGGGAATTTAAAATAATACTGGTGCCTGGATCCAATCCCAAGATATTCTTATTTAATTGGTATAGGGTGCAGTTTGGCAATTTTAAAACCACAATGTCCAGCAAAAATTGAGAACCATTGCTCTCTTTCTTTATCTTATCTAGAGTCAGGGGCACCTTCAGATTCTCCAGTCAGGAGCTGGAAGGGGCGGGATCTGCAGGTTTCCAGTCCCACTGTTTCTGGGAGAACAAGTCTTCAGGGGGGTCTAGGAATTCCAGTTCCAGACACTGTCCCCAGCAACCTCCTCAGTCCGGGACGGGACAGGAAGTGTCCGGCAGAGGTGGGATGGAGGTGATTGGCAGTTAAAGGCTCCAATGGGCCGGGAGCCCCCCTCCTAGTTCACGCTTCTTGTTCCATTGGTGCCTGGACGGAGCCGCCCCCACTGCGGGGGCGGAGGAGGGGCTCCGGGCGGGCGGGAGTAGAGGCCAGGGCAGAGGGCGGAGGGTACTTGGCGGCGGCGGCCGCGGAAGGTGAGGCCTAGGGGAGCTGGCGGGTCTAGGAGACCAAGTCTTGCCAGGAGGGGGCGGGGCGGGGTGCTGGATAAGCTCTAGGGCCTGGAGTGGCTTTCAGTGTGTACGTGTGTGACTGTGTGTGACAGTGCCCTCTAAGAGTAAGTCAGGTAGTGTGAATGTGTCATGCTGTGGGAAGGTGGGATACATATACCAATGGCCAGTTTTGGGTGAGAGATTGGGCTACGTGCTTGTGTGTACCAAGGATTGACCACATCAGGGAATGTGTCTCGGGGTTTCTGTGTCTGCCAGTGTGAGAGTGGGTGGCTGAATTTGTGTGCGCCAGTGTGTGACTTCAGCTGTAGCAGAGCCGAGTGAAACTTGTGACTATGTGTGTGTCCTGTGTCCTTTTAATTGTACTCACATGTTGGGACCCACTTCTGTAGGCAGTAGGACTGACCTTTCTACTGAGTGTCCAGCATAGATGGACCCTGCCCCACCACACTTGGCTTCCCCTCCTTCTCCCTCTCTCACTGGTCTACTGCTTCTTACTTCCAATCTCTCTGCCTGACCTAGTTTCCTTATACTTCTTTTCCTTCTGGTAGCGTAGCAGTTACGAATCAGGCTGTGAACCTCAAGGTCAGCAGTTCAAAACTACCAGCTGTTCCACAGGAGAAAGATGAGGCTTTCTGCTCCTGTAAAGATTTACAGCCTCGGAAACCCTGTACAGGGTCGCTATGAGTCGGAACCGACTCCACGGCCGTAACCAACCAACCAACCAACCATCTTCTAATGACTCGAAGGCACTTAACAACAACAGCTGTCTTCTCAGAGTTATGTATCTCTTTGTGTCTCTGCACATTTTTGTCTCCCTATGTGCATCTAGCAGTTCAAAACTACCAGCTGTTCCGTGGGAGAAAGATGAGGCTTTCTGCTCCAGTAAAGTTTTACAGCCTCAGAAACCCTGTACGGGGTTGCTATGAGTTGGAACTGACTCCACAGCACATAACAACAACAACAAATGTGCATCTGCTTTTCTAGGTCTGCCCTCATAATCTCTGTCTCACCGTTTCCGAGCGCTCTATTCCCTTGTTTACTTCTTTGGTTCCTTGGGGCAGAATGATTTGTCAGGGTCGCTATGGGTCGGAAACGACTCGATGGCACATAACAACAACAACAATAGCTCCTACTTCTTTTCCTTCTGGTAGAGTAGAGGTTACTAATCGGGCTGCGAACCTTAAGGCCAGCAGTTCGAAACTACCAGCTGTTCTGCCAGAGAAAGATGAGGTGTTCTCCTCCCGTAAAGATTTACAGCCTCGGAAACCCTGTACAGGGTCGCTATGGGTCGGAAACGACTCGAAGGCACTTAACAACAACAACAACATAGCTCCTAGGAAGAGAGGACTTAAACCATGAATGCTTTGATCCTGCATGGGGGCTGAATGCTAAGTGTGTGTGTGCATATCTAGGCAACTGTATGAGGAAGAGTAAAATGTCTACATCTGTGAGCATAGATTGTTGTTAAGTGGTGTCGAGTTGGTTCCGACTCAGCGACCCTGTATAGAGTTTCTGAGGAGCAGCTGGTGGGTTTGAACCACTGACCTTGCAGTCCAGTGCATTATCCTACTAGAATCACGTGGGTTTGTGTAAATTTAAGTGTCTGAGTGTATCATTGTGACTATGAATAGCTGTATCTGGGAGTGCTTGTCTGAGGGTAAGTATACGTTTTGTGTATCTAGCACCAAGGGACCAATGGCATTTCCTGGTACTGAGGCCCAAAGAGTGGAGGGGGAGGTGGGAAAGGGCTGGCACTTCCAGGGGAGGGGAAATTAGCCTTTGGCGTCTCCTCATTTTCCCCAACCTGGGCCTCCCTTCCACCTCACCTCACTAAACATTCATCTGTGCCCTGAGGAAACATTTGTTGGGAAGTGCAGATTGGAGCCCGAGTGTGTCTGCTTTTTCCTTTAGTTGTGTCCACGTGTGTTCAAGAAAGCGTCTATTTCGTGAATGTGCCCTATGAGTCCAGGCAAGACTGTGGTTGTGTTAGGCTCTGTGAAAACACGAGGAGTCTCTCCCTGACATAAGTAACCCTCCTCTCCTCTTGCTGGCCCTGGCAGCGTCTGTGGCTTCCTTTCCAGACTTGGGGGAGGCCTCTTACCTTCCCAGGGCCTCGAGTGGGAGGGGAGGCGGGAGGAAGAGGGAGGGGGCCTGGCTAGGGGCCGCTGATCTCTGAGGCCCAGAGGGGCGGGGAAGGAAGGAACAAATGTTTCTGGGGTCCTAGAACTGAGTGGAACTGAGATGCGTGCTGCAGCAGGCAGGAGGAGGTCCTGAAGGCCATGGACTCTCAGCCACTGGGATCACCGAGGTAGGGCGGAGCTGTTCTGGGTACATGTGGCTAGGGTGGGGGGGTTCTTGGGGTGAGCCACCCACTAGACAGATTCAGACTGACATACAGATGCATGGAGAAGCCGGGCTCTTCCTCCTCTGGTGCCGTGTCCCAAAACCTTCTCCTCATTTGTCTTTTCTTCTGCCCTCATGTCCAGTTTCCCACTGACTTCCTCCTCCTGCTTCCCAAGTTCCAGAATCCCACTCTCCCAGTAACCCCCTTCCCTGACTCTTTCCTCCTTCTCTGCCTAAGGCTTTAGCCATCCCTTACTTCAAGGAACCCTTACTGCCATTCCTGAGCTGAGTTTTTCTTGGTCTTGTGGCCGCCACCCCTGGGCCCCTGTTTCTGCAGGCTTCCAGCTCATCTCAGCCTCCCTTCCCCACTCCGCCATCCTGTCTGCTTCGGCTGGCTCCTCTCCCACCCCCAGCCTCTGGCAGGAGCAAGGGCATCTGGATTTGCTTAACTCTGCAGCCTCAGCCTGCACCCTAGCCCCTTCCAGCCTCACAGGCCCGAGACCAACAAAATTTCAGAGCCAGGCCCAGTGGAGTGACCCAAGGAGCCAGGTCCAGGCTAGAGATTTAGCAGCCAGAAGCTGGCTAGGCCTCGTGACAGGAGTACAGGGTGGGCCCAGATTCACCACGACATCCTTGTACCCGAGAGTGATGAATGCTGCCCCAGCTCAGTCAGATGCAGTGACTAGCCCTAGACCAGGTGGAGATGGACATCAAGATTCTTAATCGCTGGATTGGAGGGGTTAACGCCAGTGTCCAAGTGAATGTCAGAACTTAATGCCAGGGGTGGGCGCCAAGGGTCGTGGGGGAGGGGGAATAGCTGGCAGAATCTGTTGCCTCCGGCTTTTGTTCTGGGACCTAAGCCCAGGACTGAGATGGCGGTGTGTGTGTGTGTGTTTGTGTGTGTGTGTGTGAGAGAGAGAGAGAGAGAGAGAGAGCAAGCACTGAGTGTAACATGGAAAGGTGGACCTCAGACCGGAGCTCATGATCACTCCCGGAATGCTTCCTGACATCCCCACTTGATGCCTCAGTTTTTCTCCTGGAAGCCCCAGGTTTGGGGAGGAAGAGCCAGGCTTTAGCAATCCTGGACACTGCTTCTCTTTCCACAGATGAGCAGCAGCCGCTCAGGGCTGAGCAGGGTCCTGGTGGCCGTGACTGTAGCCCTGGTATCTGTCTCTTCCCCTTGCCCCCAGGCCTGGGGGCCCCCAGGTGAGAGGAACCCTACTATCACCCCCAACTCTGACTTGTGACTTGCTGTTTACACTGTGGCCCCTTCCACGCTTAACCTGTAACCCCTGATACCTAACCTGTCTCCAGGTTATAATATGATGTTTTGATCTAATGTTGCTTCTCAGATTCAAAAGTTCATCCTAATCCTGTCACTCACACAAAGTGGGTGGGGTGGGGGTGAGGGAAGAGCTCACTTTGAAATAACCTTCCACAGGGCTCCAGTATGGGCATCTTGGCCAGTCTGTGACGCTGTGTTGCCCCGGAGTGACTGTTGGGTAAGTGTCTCTCCTGACTGTTGGCCTGATAGTTAGGACCCTTTCTTGACCTACTCAGTCCTCACAGACCCTCTTATCCATGCCCTCTCTGTCTGTAATACTTACTCCTTTATCTGTTCTAATGCTCTACCTGTCTTTATTCAGCAGAAGGGTCAACTAGTATGTACTGAGCACCTGCTAGTCTAAACTCTGGGGATACAAGGCAGGCAAGACCCGTGTCCTTACAGAGCTTACATCTCAGTGGGGAAGACAGGCAATAAATACTTAAGACTCTTGACTGGGAGTGGTACACCCAAAGCCGAGAAGCAAAAGAGAATGACTTGGAAGAGGATAACTGAGTGGGTACTTTCACTAGGTGATCAGGGATGGCCTCTCTGAGGTTGTGATTTTGAAATTGGTTTTTAAAAGTCAGGAAGTGGGGGCAGACTTGCACAGATTGGAGTATAAGCTTCCCTGACAGAGGAAATGCCCTAAGGGAGTTCCGAACTCAATGCAGTGGGTGAGAGGAGAGGGTAGGAGCTAAAATGAAAATAAAAAGGTAGGAACACAGAAGTTTTTGAAAGCTGGTGAAAAGAGCTTGAGTTTTATTGAAAATACAGTGAAAAACCGATGGAGAATTGTGGCATGTATGTGTTACACTTTAAATCTTCCCTCTGTCCATCCTCAAGGAACTCTGGTGACTCTTGGGTTAAGCACTCGGCTGCTAGACAAAAAGGTCAGCAGTTTGCATCCACTAGCAGGAAGAAAGATGTATGGCAGTCTGCTTCTGTAAAGATTGCAGTCTTGGAAACCCTGGGGGGACAGTTCTACTCCCATAGAGTTGCTATGAGTCAGCATTGACTTGATGCCAATGGGTTTGGATTTTGTCTATCCTCACCTCATTTTACCCCTAGGACCCCAGTGTTCTGGTTTCGGGATGGAGAGCCAAGGCTGCTCCAGGGACCTGACTCTGGTCAAAGGCATGAACTAGTTCTGACTCAGGCAGACTGCACTGACGAGGGCGTCTACATCTGCCGAACTGTAGATGGTGCTGTTGGAGGCACTGTGACCCTGCAGCTGGGCTGTGAGTTGGGGAGGGAGTACTGGGGGGCAACTCCTGAGCAAACCTAGGCCCTGAGTGAGCCCACTGGGATGGGGAGGTGCTGGGGACTTTTGGTCTCCAACTGTACTCTGCCTCTAGACCCTCCAGCCCGTCCTGTCGTCTCCTGCCAAGCAGCTGACTATGAGAATTTCTCCTGCACTTGGAGTCCGGGTCAGCTCAGCAGTCTGCCCACCTGCTACCTCACCTCGTACAGGTGTGTACATGATTAGGTGTGTGTGTCTATACATTTGGGTGTGCTGACATAAGTTAGGCATGGGAGACAAGGAGGAAGGCCCCGAGGAAGGCCTGGGGGCCTCTTTTTTCCTTCTTGACCTGAGATTACCCCTCTCCTCACCAGGAAGAAAACAGTGCCAGGAGTTGATGACCAGAGGTAGGATAAGAGGGAGACACTGGGGCTCCACGTGGGTCCCACAGTGTGCATTTCAAAAGCCCAAGACCACATACTCTCTCCTAGGGTGAATTCATCCACTGGGCCCTGGCCATGCCCGCAGGACCCTCCAGGGACTGCCCGCTGTGTGGTCCATGGGGCAGAGTTCTGGAGCCAGTACCGGATCAATGTGACCGAGGTGAACCCCTTGGGGGCCAGCACACGTCTGCTGGATGTGAGCTTGCAGAGCATCTGTGAGTGCCCACTCTAGACCTCCCCCTGATCCCTTCTAACAGAACCCTTAAACCAATCCCAGAGGACAGGTGCCTCCGTACAGACCCCTCCACAGATCTCCTAAACAGATCCCTCCCAACACAGATCCCATTTCAGCGTATAGAATTTCCTAAATGATGTTTCTTTTACCAGTGGCCCTGTAGTAACTAAAAAGCCCAAGTGATCAGTGGTCAGAAAGCAGGTTTACATTAGTATACACTCTAGAGCCTGGCATTATTACTCCACTCTCCATAAGTCTTTTCTGACTCCCTGCTTCTAGGTCCTGTTCTGAAGACATATCTTATGTTCTTGCTGCCCAATGGAAGCCCCTCCCACCTTCCTTTCTCTTGGTCAATGTATGGAAGTTGTGGTTATTATTGTTAGGTGCCTTGGAGTCTGCTCTGAATCATAGCAACACTATGTGTAACAGAACAAAACACTCCTCAGTTTTGTGCCATCCTCACAATTGTTACTTTGAGCCCATTGTTGTAGCCAGACCCTCATCTTTACCAAGCTTAATGTCCAGGAACTGGTCCCCGCTAAGTATGTAAGACAAAGACTTACCCTTTTTGCTTCAAGGAGCATACGGCTGTACTTCCAAGACAGATTTGTTTGTTCTCCTGATACTTTCAGTATTCTTTACCAACACCATAATCCAAGTGCATCAATTTTTCTCCAGTCTTCCTTATTCATGGTCCAACTGTCACATGCATATGAAGCAATTGAAAATACCATGGCTTGGATCAGGCTCATCTTAGTCCTAAAAGTGACATCTTTGTTCTTTAACACTTTAAATAAGAGATTTGCCCAAAGCATTATGGCATTTGACTTCTTGACTGCTGCTTTCAAACCATGAGCATTGGTTGTGGATCTAAGTAAAATGAAATCCTTGACAACTTCAGTCTTTTCTCAGTTTATCATGATGTTGCTTATTGGTCAAGTTGTGAGAATTTTTGTTTTCTTTGCATTGAGTTATAATCCATACTGAAGGCTGTATTCTTTGATCTTCATCAACAAGTGTTTCAAATCCTCTTCACTTTCAGCAAGCAATGTTGTATTATCTGCATATTGGAGATTGTTTATGAGTTTTCCACTAATCATGATGCCACATTCTTCATATAGTCCAGCTTTTCAGATTATTTGTTCAATATACAGATTGATAAATATTGTGAAAGGATACAACCTTGATGTACAACTTTCCTAATTTGAAACACTTGTTCTGTTTGAATGACTGCCCCTTGTATGTACAGGTTCCGTATGAGCACCGTTAGGTGTTCTGGAATTCCCATTCTTTGAAATGTTATCCATAGTTTGTGCTGATCTACACAATTGATTGCCTTTGCATAGTCATTAAAGCACAAACATCTTTTTGGTATTTTCTGCTTTTAGCCAAGATCCATCTGACATCAGCAATGCTCCTCATTCATTCTTGTCTTCTGAATCTACTTTGATTTTCTGGCAGCTCCCTGTCAGTGTACTGCTGCAAATGATTTTGAATTATCTTCAGCAAAATTTTACTTATATGTGATATTATTTGATAATTTCCACATCCTGTTGGGACACCTTTCTTTGGAATGAGCACACATAATTCTCTTCCAGGCAATTGGCCAGGTATCTGCTTCTAAATTTCTTTACATAGACTAGTGAGTGTTCCAGCACTACATTGTTTTTGTTGAAATGGTTCAACTGGTATTTCATCAATTCCTTGAGCCTTTTTCTCTCACAAGTGCCTTCAGTGCAGCTTGGACTTCTTCCTTCAATGCCATTGGTGCTTCATCATATGCTACCTTCTGAAATGGTTAAATTTTGACCAATTCTTTTCAGTGTAATGACTCTGTATTCCTTCCATCTTCTTTTGATGTTTCCTGAATTGTTTAGTATTTTGCTTATAGAATCCTTCAGTATAGCAAAGTCGAAGCTTGAAGTTTTTATTTAGTTCTTTCAACCTGAGAAATCCTGGGTATAGTCTTCCTTTTTGGTTATCGAACTCCAGGGCTTTGCACATTTCATTATAATATTTTACTTTGTCTTCTTGAGCTGTTCTTTGAAAATTTCTGTTTAGCTCTTTTACTTCACCATTAATTTCATTTGCTTTAGCTATCCTATGTCCAAGAACAAGTTTCAGAGTCTTCTGACATCCGTTTTTGTCTTTTCTTTCTTTCTTGTTTTTTAAAGATTAGTGAGGTGAAGTAGTGGAGGTGAAGAAAGAACAAAGAAATCTGTAACTGGCTGTGATCAATTAGTTGTAAACCCCACTGCACTCGGACTAACCTCTTTCCTATCTTTTTAATGGCCTTTTGCTTTCTTCATGTATGATATACTTGATGTCATCCCATAACTCATCTGATCATTAGTATTCAATGTGTTAGATCTGTTCTTGAGATGGTCTCTAAGTTCAGGTGTATGGCAGAGGGGCACTAAATCTCTCGTTAGAATTTGAGGCAACTCATTTTTTTCCTTGGATGGAAAGTAGAGTCCCCTTTTTATTCATTCAACAAACATGTCAAAACCCTGCTACTAGATCTCAGCCCATGTTATACTAGTGATGACTGTCAAGTCCTGATCAAATTTAAGACTTCACCTGCCTCCTGGAAGCACCTCACTCTGGTGCCTTTAAGCATACACTTTCCTCCCTGGGGAAGGCGTGGGGTGGGGGGAGCCTACCTCTTGCCTGCCCTGACTTTGTGTCTCCACTGCCCTCAGTGCGCCCTGATCCACCTCAGGGCTTGCGAGTGGAGCCAATACCTGGTTATCCCCGCCGCCTGCATGCCAGTTGGAAGTACCCTGCCTCCTGGCCCCATCAGCCCCACTTTCTGCTCAAATTCCGGCTACAGTACCGCCCAGCGCAGCATCCAGCCTGGTCCACGGTGAGGCTTGGAGCGCATCCCAGTCTGGGCCTGTGGGTCCTGACTTTGGTTTCACTTGGGTGCCCGGCATGGCTCCCTGGCTGCCAAGTGGGCCAAGCTCTGAGTCACAGACCAACAGACAGCCTCTGCAATGTGGGGCTGTAACTAGAGCCTTGCAGTTAGCAGCTCAACACTTAATCCACAGCAGTGATTTAAAAAATAAAATAACCTTTCTATTTACAACAATACTCCAGTTGAGGATGGTAGTGAATTCCTGACTCTGGACAAGTCAAAGATTGACTGATGTCAAGTTTGGGCTGGGGCTCCGTTGGATAATAATCTCCCTGCCAGGCACCGTGCTACACAAATTATCTAAATTTATTCACCCTTATTTTACAAATGAAGAAACAGGCATAGAAAGGCCTCAGGCCACTCAGTAAGTGTTACAGGAAAGATTTGAATCCAGACAGTCTGATGCCACAGTCTATGTGATCACTAGACAATATTGTCTTCCCCAAATTCACTGTAGACTGAAAATCCCACTAGCTGCCCCACATAAGGCCCAGATGGCTCCACAGGAGAGGACAGGGAAGAAGGGGAGCTCTTTGCAGACTGGGATTGGGGGGCCACTAGGCTCTATGCTTACAACTTAGATAATGCGCCCACTGTCATATTCACCCCCAGCTAGAGCCGGTTGGTCTGGAAGAGGTGATCACAGACGCTGTGGCTGGGCTACCCCATATAGTTCGGGTCAGTGCCCGCGACTTTCTGGATGCTGGTACTTGGAGCACCTGGAGCCCCGAAGTCTGGGGGACTCCGAGTACTGGTGAGAGACAGAGCCCAGGGAAAGTGCAGAGGACCCACCCCACAGCATCTATCAGCAGGCCCACTACTACGTGTAAGTTGGACATGTGGCACATGCCCCACCCCTGCAAACATAGCAACTGCTGTGCTGCCCTTGTTTAAGCCCTGCCCCTTAGCCTCCTCCCTGCAATTACTGGTACTGCCTTTATAAGTTCTTCCCAAGCACCCCTATATCCAATTCCGGTCCTAGCCTCACCTGGCAGGACCTGGCCCCCCAACTCCACTGCATATGGATGCTTCTCAGATCTGGCCTCTTTTCAGGGTCCCTACCAAAGGAGATACTAGCTGGGGGCCAGCCACCAGCTGGGGACCAGGCACAATCGAAGCCGGAAGTGCAGTCACAAGCGGGTAGTCTCACTCCCTCAGAGCCCTCCCTCCAGCCTGGACCACAGCCTCTTGGTGAGCTTGGGCAGATGGACAAACGGAAGTTCCAGAGAGAAGCGGGCACCGAGCTTGGACAGACTTGATCTCACACTTGCCTGTGGTGTTTCCTCTTAGACCACCAAGTCCCTCTGGAGCAAGTAGCCATGCTGGTATCACTGGGAATCCTCTCTTTCCTGGGACTCGTGGCTGGGGCCCTGGTACTGGCACTTTGGTAAGTGTCTCCCTTTGGCCTTTCAACTTCTGATCCCCACGAACGATCTGAAGCCCATAAGTCACCCCCGTTCCCACCCGGCAGGACTTCCCACTGAACCTGTCTAATTCTGGAATTCACTGATTCCTTTCTTGACCATTTACTAACAATCCCTTTTGGAGGAAAGTGAAATGCCCCATGTTGTCAGGGAGACAACTGCCTTTTTATACCCCAGGCTGAGACTGAGACTAGGTCAGAAGAATGGACCCCCAAAGCGTGGATTCTTGGGCCCAATCATTCCAGTGGATAAACTTACAAGTGAGTAAGACCTCCAGGGAACTTGGACTCAGAGATATGTGCCTCCATTTTGAGAGTGTCTGGATTAAGAGCTGGCTGCCGTAGTCTTTCTCAGCTTGGTGGGCATCAGAGTTGGGTCCCCTTCTCATTCTTACGATGTTTGGGCTCAGAAATAAGTCTCTTCCCTCTCTCTCAGGATATTGGGGCTCATAATTGAACACTTTTCTCATTCTCAGGGTGTTAGACTCAGAGCTGAATATTCATCCTTATTCTTTGATGTCTTGGATCAGAGCTGAGACCCTTCCCTCAGGATGTCTGGGCCAAAATCCAGTCCTACTCCCGTCCCTGGTTTTCCTCCTGTTTCTTCTAGGAGCTCCAAACCTGTAGAGGATCCAGGAGGGCTTCAGCTGATTCCACCTGTAACTGTATTGATGGTATAGGTGGATGGACAGATAGAACTCCAGGCAAGACAGTAGATCCCCCCTATGAGAGGGGAGTCTAAGCTGGAAGTTCTCTTTGGAGCCCATTTCTGTAAGACCTTGGATTCCAAACTTTCCAGCTGACAGGAGTCTGGACCTGATTTCATTCTAGAGCTGGAGGTCCAGCCTGAGGATCTGTGTCTGTGTGTATGTGTGTTCATGTGTGACCATGTTTATGTGAAGCAGAGAACATATGTTTTCTGCATGTAAGTATATAGGTGCCTGGGGAGTGTATGTGGGTCCTTGGCCTTTTGCCTTGCCCCCAATGGGGTGTGGAGGTACAAATAATAAAAAGAATATGGAAATTCTGGTTATTGATACATTTCCCAGTACCAGATTTAGGGCTCACCGGAATGGAATGCATAGCATTGGGGAATCACAGTCAAAGACCATTGTTCAATGTTGCTTTATTGTTTTGGCTGTTGGTGGGGTCATTGCATCTTCACCAGCAGCCCATATTTCAGGTTGGGCAGAGTCCCCTGGAGCCTCCTTTCTTGGCGCTCAAACCACTGAGCTAGGCTGCGGTTCTGGGGATGGACGCAGACACTGCGTTGAGCCAGGTGAAGCCTGGGAAGAGAAAGGTCCATAGCCATCGTCAAGACTTAAGGAGGATTTTAGGGTCCATTGGCTAGGGGCAAAGGCCTCTAAACTGAAAACCTGAGTTGGTATCAGAATTAAGGGTTAGGGCTGGATTTGGGATCAGCATTAGGAGTTGGGATTGAGATTGGAATCAGGGCTCAATTATCAGGAGTAGGGTCAGGGCTCACACAAAGGCCTGAAGGTAACAGTCCCCATCAGCCTTCTGTACTTCCACCCGGATCACTTTCCTCAGCAGCTTGTCCGGCAGTGGCTGTCGGTAGAGCTGAGTGCAGCAGGTGGAGCTGGGTGGCAGTAACAAAGCTAGAGGACAGTGGGTCCATGAGTTCAGAGGCATCCTGATCCAGAACCCCCCACGAGATAGCTGAAGACTGGACTTCCTGGACCCCTTCTCCCCACTATCCCATTCATGCAAATGCCCAGCCTTCTAGACCCCTAAGCACTTACCTGGTCCAGGGTCTGGGCTCAGCAACAACAGTAGCAACAAGAGGCTGCTGGCACATAAGATCCCTTTCATGCTGCTTGCCTGGAAACTTCTTATTCCTTTTAGTCTCCTGCCTTTTATGTAAGGCACCAGGTGAGTCAGAGGCAGGTAGGAATGTCCCTGCTCATCCTGTGATATAGCTCCTGGGCCCTAATTCTTGGGCCTGTTGCCACAGACCCCTTCCTCTTCTAGGACTACCATTTCTCATGTGCTTCTAAGCCTTGGACAGACAAACTGAGGAGAGAGGGTAGTGCATGATTTGGGAACTAATGGTACAAAGATCCACAGTGCCATTCAGTGATAGAATTCACACTCATGTACCCATAGTCACACATTTATAGTCACACCTTGGTCACTCCGTCACTTACAGTCATACTCGTGGTCAGACAACCACAGGCAGAGTCATTGGGCCTAATTATATTCACTCTCAAATAGTTGTGTTTTCTCAATTATCCAGTTGCACTCACAATCATCCCAGAGCACAAAGATTCTGACGGAGGAGGTTGTGAATGGGTGGGAGCAGAGGGCAAGCCAGCACTCATTTGTCAATTGGCCATCATCTTTCCCTTCCACTTTCTTTCCTAGTCTGCTGGCCTTATTGGGAGAAACTGATGGGAAGGGGTCTCCACGGCAGGTCTTCCTGGGTGAGGAGGGGTCTTGGCTGGGCCCAGGCACATTCAGAATGAGAAGCTGGGAGAAGACTCCTTTTTAAAAATTTATTGTGAATTATGTGATAGTTTATGTGGGAGAACATTAGTTTTACCTTCATCTTACCGTATATCGTTTCATTGCCATGGTTACAATCCCCTCCATGCATCATCAATCAACCAAAGGGTATATCCTACAAACCTGCCCCCCTCCACTCACCCCCCCGGTCATCAGCACACAGCCCTTCTTCCTTTCTGGGTCTAAAGTCCCTAGCTGCTCCATCTCTCCATGTCATC